TGGGCATGGCCATGCACTTTCCCAAGTCCTACTATTTAGTGGGCCCATTGACATTATACTTCTGTACAGTAGAAGGGACAGATCCTGTATCTGTTATTCACATCTCTAAATATGCTTAGCGGCATACCCAACGCATAACTGCACGTCTACCAGTATTTTAGATAGCATTAGTTATGAATCAAAGCATACGGCCCCACATATCAGAGAATGTAATAACTTCAAGTCTGAGGATAGTTATAGCAAGGTCGATTTGAGAATACTGATAAACACATTACTGTAGATCCATGCAGTATTCTCAAGATGGGTCAATCCAGTCACATATTATCGATATAATATGCACCTACGTACAGATTAAGATATCACAATACCTATAGTCTATGAGACGCAACTATCTCATCTCGTACGTACTAGTCTTGATACGTTATGACGTCCGTATTATCATAAAGTGCGACTAGGGATATTCTAGACATAGCCTGCGTTAAGAAGTAACAGTCTCATAATCAGAACATCGTAGTCCTCATCTATGTTACTGAAGCGCTATCGTCTATGGACTAAAGCTATGTTATGTTACACGAGATATAAAACATACTTCAAGGCCTTTCATTCGTGATAAAGTGTACAGTTACATAGGTATTTGATTGCCGCTAGGGAACCTAAATACAACAATCTCCCACCTGCCCTAAGGCCAATCATGCATTTCTCAAATGCCCATGGACCACGTATGACTCTCGTGTTTAGGCTTTCCCAAAGCCTTCGTCAACGGATCCACGATATTGTCGTCTGTACCTATCTTGCAAATCTCAACATCCCCACGTGCAACGATTTCTCGTATGATGTGATAACGTCTAACGATGTGTTTGGTCTTCTGATGAGACCGAGGTTCTTTCACTTGTACAATTGCCCCATTGTTGTCGCAAAACAACGGTATAGGGTTCTTGATGCTAGGAACCACTCCAAGCTCAGTAATAAAATTCTTGAGCCACACACCTTCCTTGGCTGCCTCGGCTGCAGCCATGTATTCTGCTTCTGTAGTGGAATCCGCGGTAGTATCTTGCTTGTAACTCTTCCAGGTAACAGCTCCGCCATTCAAACAAAACACATACCCTGCCTGCGACTTGAAGTCATCTCTATCAGTTTGGAAGCTGGCATCAGTATATCCAACAATACTGAGCTCTTCTTTTCTTCCATATACCAGGAAGGCATCCTTAATCCTACGGAAGTATTTAAGAATGTTCTTCACAGCCGTCCAATAGCTTTCGCCAGGGTTGGACTAGTATCTACTCGTGACACTCAGAGCAAAGGCGACATCAAGTCTTGTACATACCATCGCATACATGATGGATCCAATGGCCGACGCATAAGGAACATTTCTCATGCGTTCTACTTCCTCCAGAGTGGAAGCACCCTGAGTCTTGGAAAGACTTGTGCCTTGGGCCATAGGAAAACTTCCTCGTTTCGACTCAGACATGCTGAATCTAGCGAGGACCTTGTCTATGTATGTACTTTGACTGAGACCTAACAGCTTCCATGATCTATCCCTATAGATCCTTATGCCAAGTGCATAACTGGCATCTCCCAAGTCGTTCATAGAGAAACTTTTACTCAACCACGTTTTGACGGTGGTTAAAGTAGGAATATCGTTTCCTATGAGCAGTATGTCATCAACATACAGAGCAAGGAAGACTACAGCACTCTCACTGACCTTCTTGTATACACAAGATTCATCCGAATTTCTTTCACAACCAAAGCCGATGACAGTTTCGTGAAAGAGGATGTTCCAACTCCGTGAGGCTTGCTTCAATCCGTAGATTGATCGCTGCAACTTGCATACCTTGGTAGATTCTTCAGGAGCGCAAAACCCTTCAGGTTGTGTCATAAAGACATCCTCAAGGAGGTTTCCATTAAGGAAAACCGTTTTGACGTCCACCTGCCAGATTTCGTAATCATGGTATGCTGCGATAGCAAGTAAGATCCGAATGGATTTAATCATGATAACTGGAGAAAAAGTTTTGTCATAGTCGATACCATGTATTTGACGATATCCATTTGCTACCAATCGTGCCTTGAAGGTTTGCACCTTACCATCCATGTCAGTCTTCTTTTTGAAGACCCATTTGCACCCAATGGGTTTGATCCCTTCGGGTGCATCAACCAAAGTCCATACTTGGTTGGTGTACATGGAATCCATTTCGGACTGCATGGCTTGACGCCATTCCTCACCCTCAGGACAACTGATTGCCTGGAGGTAGGTCTCCGGCTCATCCTGGTCGATAAGCATTACGTCACCCTCAAAGGTTAGGAGGAATCCATACCTTTCAGGTTGTGTGCGTAACCGGTTAAACCTACGGGGTTCTTGTGTATCTTGAGCATTTTGAGGTACAACGGTTTGTTCCTCTAGCTCATGTTCCAGAACCGGCGCAGTAGTTTCTTCGTCGTCTCGAATTTCTTCGAGCTCTATCTTTCTCCCACTAGTTGCGTTGGAGAGAAATTCCTTCTCGAGGAAGACACCATTGCGAGCAACGAATACCTTCTTATCGATAGGGTGATAGAATGAATACCCTCGAGTTTCCTTTGGGTATCCCACGAAGAAACACTTATCAGACTTGGCGTCAAGCTTGCCATTCGTCATAAGACGTTTGACATAAGCCTCACAGCCCCAAATCTTTAAGTGTGACAGAACCGGGCATTTGCCCGTCCATAGCTGGTATGGTGTTCCTTCAACCGCCTTGGTTGGAACTCGGTTAAGAGTATATATTGCAGTGCTCAGCGCATACCCCCAGAATGATTCTGGTAGAGTCGAATGACCCATCATAGAACGAACCATGTCAAGCAGGGTTCGATTCCTCCTTTCAGAGACACCATTCCATTGTGGAGTCCCAGGAGGTGTGAGTTGGGATAAAATCCCATGCTCTCTAAGATAGTCATCGAACTCACCACTTNGAACCGGCGCGGTAGTTTCTTCGTCGTCTCGAATTTCTTCGAGCTCTATCTTTCTCCCACTAGTTGCGTTGGAGAGAAATTCCTTCTCGAGGAAGACACCATTGCGAGCAACGAATACCTTCTTATCGATAGGGTGATAGAATGAATACCCTCGAGTTTCCTTTGGGTATCCCACGAAGAAACACTTATCAGACTTGGCGTCAAGCTTGCCATTCGTCATAAGACGTTTGACATAAGCCTCACAGCCCCAAATCTTTAAGTGTGATAGAACCAGGCATTTGCCCGTCCATAGCTGGTATGGTGTTCCTTCAACCGCCTTGGTTGGAACTCGGTTAAGAGTATATATTGCAGTGCTCAGCGCATACCCCCAGAATGATTCTGGTAGAGTCCAATGACCCAAAATAGAACGAACCATGTCAAGCAGGGTTCGATTCCTCCTTTCAGAGACACCATTCCATTGTGGAGTCCCAGGAGGTGTGAGTTGGGATAAAATCCCATGCTCTCTAAAATAGTCATCGAACTCACCACTTAAGTATTCTCCACCTTGATCGGATCGTAGTGTTTTAATACTTTTGCCAAGTTGTTTTTCAACTTCATTCCTGAATTCTTTGAACATTTCAAAGGATTCTGACTTGTGTTTTATGAGATACACATAGCCATATCTACTGAGATCATCAGTAAAAGTGATGAAGTATGAATAACCACCTCGTGCAGTTGTATTGAAAGGCCCGCACACATCACTATAAATGAGTTCCAGAAGATCACCAGTTCTTTCACCTTGTCCAGTGAAAGGAGATTCTGTCATCTTACCCAATAAACAAGATTCACATGTGTCATATCATTCAAGTTCAAATTACTCCAGCATTCCCGACCGATGTAGCTTGGATATGCGTTTCTCGTTTATATGGCCTAACCTACAATGCCATAGGTATGTTTGGTTCAAACCGTTCGGTTTTTTCCTCTTGGCTGATATGTTATAGGCAGGCATGTCCAAGTCAAGGACATATAACCCATTGGTCATGTTGGCATTAGAATAGAAAACATTCTTATCAAGACATGAAACAGAAATAATGTTTCTGCTAATCGCAGGAACGTACAAGCAATCGTTTAATTCCAACATTAGACCACTAGGCAAGACTGAAATATAAGTTCCGATTGCCAAAGCTACAACAGGTGCACCATTGCCGACTCGGAGTTCAATCTCGCCTCGAGCTAACCGTCTACTCTGCTTCAGTCCCTGCATGGTAGTACAGATATGAGACCCACATCCAGTATCTAGTACCCATGATGAAGATATAGACATGTTAACTTCTATAACATACACCTCAGAAGAAATGGTCGTACCTTCCTTCTTCTTGGTTGCGAGGTATGTCTTGTAGTTTCTTCTCCAGTGGCCTGCCTTACCACAGTGATGACATTTGCCCTTTGCAACTCCTCCTATGGGTTTCTGGGTTGCAGATGAAGTGGACTTTGATTTAGGCTTTCCGACCGTCCTAGCCTTAATCTTAATCCCCTTCTTCGACTTCCCCTTTCCGCCTTGGACCATAAGG